TGACATCGGTAATAAGGGCCGATGAGATTTTATTAATCCTTTGTCATGTCGAGATTCTCTGAATCCCATTCTGGAACTATGCAAATCTCTGAATCCCATTCCAAAATTTTCACAATTCCAAAACGTTAATCGCTGAATCTCATTCTGTATATTCGTGCGGATCCTCTGGACCCCATTCCATGATTTTCTAAATTTTAAAGGATGTATGAATTATAATCAGAGATGTTGGTGTTATCAGAATCTCAATTTAGAAATCTTTAAATCTAGGATCGGGATTTTCTTAATTCCATCTCTGAAATATCTGAATTATATTCCGGCTTTCTGGGGTGAATCCCAATTACACACTTAGTATTGTTTGCCGAATAGCGATAATAATTGTGATCTACGTGGTGATGGGTCATTAGGCCGAAAGCCAATTTGCCGAAAAGTTCATTCTTAATCATCGCATTTCGCAAGTTTATTGCTTATCGCATATTAGCTTATTGCGTGCTCTCAACTTAGTGTTCTAGATGCACTTCCACAGTTATTAATCTAGAGCTTTCGATGCCTGTACCATTTTTGGATTATTTAGCATAATTTGTGTGACAAGTACAATCATACTCTACGCCCAGGGAAGTCGAGAAATTGTCCATTCCGCCGCTGCGTCTTTAGCAACTGAGTTAAGGTGGGATTAGGCCAAAATTCTAATAGTTGTTCATTTTTCATGATACAACATCTGTATTGTTCCAGATTAAACAAATATTGAGCAGCTAATGAAGTATGTAGAAATATGTCGCTGCATAGTTCATTCAAGATGTCAGAATCCATTGCTGCAATATGTATCAAATCTTTCCAAGTCTTCAAAAGTTCTTAAAATATTTTCTTCACCCATGATCCTAAAACTTATCTGAGTACCCGAATTTAGAAAAGTATCGTAGCTTGTGATATTTACAGTAAGAATTAAGTTTAGGATTCTAATCTATATTTCTCAGAATGAGATCTTTAATAAATAGACAACATGTCTGAATGTTTCCAAGCCCCAAAAACTATCATATTTACCAAGAAGATAACGATTTTGATATTTTTGAAAAACCGCAGTCTTCCCGAAATAAAAATTCAAGATTAAGTTATGTTTTCAATATTCCTATTTACTCAGATATGGGTCTTTAAAAATTCCCAACGTTGCGTGTTACAAGAAATGCAAAGTTCAATCTTTCACTTTTCAAAATTCGGCCATTTCGGCCTAAAGTAGCTTTCGGTCTAATGACCCATTTGGCCTAATGGCGCTCGGTCAAGTGGTCTTCGGCGGGAAACTTTGGCTGAATATTTCAAGACCAACAATTGAAATGGCGTTAACTCCATTTTGTAAACAAACCTTGTAAGGCCATTTTCTCGCGAAACGAAGTCCGCAAAGGCAAACCAACATAATGAACAGGTAGGGGAAATTCTCCTCTACCCGATTGTGGTTTAGGTTTGCGAATGAAGGTTTCGGTTCGCGAGAAAATGGCCTTGCAAGGTTTGTTTACAAAATGGAGTTAAGGACATTTCAATTGTTGATCTTGATTTCAAATATCATCTCAGCGAAAATTGACGTATGTTTGCTGAGATTCACTAACATACACACTTCGAACTTCGGTAAATTTCAGGTATATCTTTCACGGCCATTGATTTTTTCAGCATATTTTGATAGGAGTTGGATGTGATAACTACAGCATTTTCCTTCCTCATAGAACGGGATTTATTCCTGGACACCATCTTCGGGACTGGCCTCCGATGGTAATGTTATGAAGGCTTGGTTTCGTACATTTGGTTTGGCTGTAGTTTCTTATTTGAATCCACTACTACATTCGAACATGAATCCAGCTCACTGCTTGACCGATGTGTATGTGGTTGAATGACTTTGGTTCCTCCCCAAAGTCATCAAACCCACAAAAAGGAGGTTCATCATCCACGGTTTGAGGAACATCCGAAACGTTGCATGCAGCAAAATCGCCTTCACCAAAAATAAATTTGTTCAGTGGAACTATTCATGTTTTCCAGAAGCCATTAATAGCGGTGGAATGGCCGATGCCATGAACGCTTTTTCAAAGAGAGTGCTAATCTCATTTACCGTCACAACTCCACAGCCTGAGAGAAATGTGACTTCAGAGATACCATGTACAGTAGCCGTTCGCTAATTGGGGCACGACTGCACCCCAATTATCGAATGGCATTCGCTAATTGGGGGGTGTCGACAAGTGTCAAAGTTGACCGGGGGGCGCTTGACTCGTTTGTTTTGGTTTTCAGTCTTTCGTCTGCTTAACTGATACTGTGAGCAGCTACTTAGTTTTTGTCTTGCGTGAGTGTAAATTGAGTGAATCGATTGAATATTTTGTTGAGTTATTTCCGGCGCTGGTAAATATTTGTGCATTCATACGTTGTTTGTAATGTTGTAGCAATTATCCTCCTGAAATTTGTTCAGCTTTCACAATGGAAGGAGTATCAGCTTCCAGTTCCGGAGTGGATTATAAGCAAGTCGTGAAACGGAAGCACACTACGCTTACCTTGGCTCAAAAGGTGAGAATAATCGAGAAATTTGAAGCAGGAAACGGTTCCCACGAAATATTAGGCATTTTGTATTTTGTTTTTCGTTATTTTTTATCAATCATTGAAAGACCCCCCAAAAAATATGACATCAAAACGTCAGCATGATTTTGACATCAGATTTTGACGGATGACTGCTTTTTAATTGGGTCGCGCCCCAATTAGCGAACCCCCAATTAAAAAGCGACCCAACCAGAAAACCCCCAATTAGCGAACTTCCACTGTAGCTAACATCGAGTGGCTGCATTTTATAAGTGCAATGTTGTGGAAACGATAGAGCAGTAAGTTGGCCGATCTGGCTATTTCTACAAAGGCTAAATTTTACGTGTGCAAGCTATGACCATCCAGCAATAAGAGGGTAGGACTTTCCTGTGTTGGTTTGGTATGTTGGATGAAATGTTCGAGCCATTTACAGAAGTCCTTACTAATCATCCTACCACTTGGGTTACAACTAAATAGGGTTTCAGGAGGAGCTCCCATTTTAAGCTGCTCCGTCATTCTTACCCTCGGAAAGACCGGAAGGGGAGCACGTAATGTCCCGTTGCAGAGGTACAAATAACTGCTGTTGTTAATACGCCTCTTTCTGCCGATGTAACGCGGCCAATTCGCCGCTTGCCTCAAAGTTCCAGAATCTTACTTTTTTTTCATTTGAATCTGTAATAAAATAGAAGGCAGCAATGGAGGTTAAAAATTAAAAAGCACTCAAAAGTATTGACTATTATATTGATGCAAATATTGATGAACATATTGACGCAAAATCAAAAAAGTTTGATTTCATGTTTCAATATTTTCCCTCATTTTCCCCTTCTGTTTGACTACAGCAGCAGATGGGGCCTGCTCCTCGGCAACTTTTGTCAAGGTGGTTGTGAGTTGATTCGGAATATTCCATCGGATACAACAATGTTAGGTGGCGGCCAGGGTAGACGCGAGATTCGCGATGCAACGCGACTAATTCAAAAGAATCTGGCTGTGAACCATTTGCCGAGTTAAATTTAGGCTCTGAACCATTTGGTGGATTATTTTAACTTTTGGTTAAAATTTGACAGATGAAAAGTTATCGATTAACCCTGCTATCCGAGCATGGTTATTTCTGACAGACAAGAAGTTAAATTTTGACAACCGTGGCTCGAAAACCGGTCGATCGACAGCACGGGGATTTTCGAACATAGAAAATAACTTTCGAAATGTCACTTTTAACCACGAGTTAAATTTAACTCGGCAAATGGTTCACAGCCTTAATTGTTAATGGTTGAAAGTGACATTTCGAAAGTTATTTTCTATGTTCGAAAATCCCCGTGTTATCGATCGACCGGGTTTCGAGCCATGGTTGTCAAAATTGAACTTCTTGTCTGCCAGAAATAACCATGCTCGGATAGCAGGGTTAATCGACAACTTTCCATCTGTCAAATTTTAACCAAAAGTTTAAAAAATCGTCAAATGGTTCAGAGTCTTAGGCTATGTTGAATTTGGTGTATTTTCACTTGAATTAGACACTTCGACAAGAAATTATGATGTTCAAAATCCCTATGTTGTTGATCGTCCGATTTCCCAAAACGTGTTTGTCAAAATTGATTCCTTAAATAAGTTTGCTATTCTAGCAGGTTTATTTGAAAATTTTCCTTCTGTCAAATTTAAGTGAAAATTCATCAAATAGAACACAGCCTTAGAGTGGGGAGCGATACTGTAATACAGTATCCCCGAAAATATTTACATGAAACTATTGATGGAAATATTGACGAAACTTCTGTCGGTTGGGGTGCACTTAACACATGAAGTACACTCAAAAAATAAATCACATTTCCGATGGAAAATATCCACTAGAATTTCACATAACTTTCATGTGATCTCATAATTGGGAATCGCACCACGAAATCACATAAACCTTATGTGTCCAATGAAGTTTTTGCGATTTATCACATAGAATTCATGTGATCATATGAATGTTATGTGAATTTCAGGTAAAAATAATTTATTTTGTTATTGGCAAAATATCATGTGCGTTCCCAATGAAAACTATATGAAAACTTTTTCATTGTATACAAGCTCGTTCTCCTGTTGTTCCACTTTTTCACTACGTTAGCGTTTGCCGACGAATGCCATGCTCGGATGTAGTTCTTTTAACGGAAATCCTTCCGAGACAACAGCTTCGACCCCAGCTGGCTCAGCTCTGGTACTATCTTCGGTCCCAAGCTAATCGATGCAACCCTCGAAACATTGGAAGGCCCCCGAACCCCTCATTTTATCTGCCAAATTTTCAAAGCGAATCAAAACAAACATAGTGAAGTACTAGAATTTCGACTAGAATGGGATACACTTGTAGATGTACTTGGGACCAATAGGCTAGTCAAGTAGTGAGCCAATTTAAAATCGTTAGTTTCCACCGGTTGGTAGTATCGCAAGGGAATTTCTCAACTCAAATCTTCAATCACTTCTCGCTAAAGTACATAACCATTTTATTCCACATGTTACACCTAGTTAAATGTTGTCTTTAATATCTCATTGTTCTACTTTCATTCATTCTGCTTAAATGCAAAAAAAAAAGTCACCTAACTATAAATACATACCTATAAGCACAGGAAAACAAACTAAATTAACACATCCGCCCTCTGCTGTCACTACAACTGCACCGTTATTAAGTTCCTTTCGCTTTTGCGTGTATTTACAACAAAAATTGTAACACAAAAATAGTGAAAATTATAACAAAAACATACTTTTCTATACTTGTAAAAAAAGCTTATCTGCGATAAAAAAAAATGTATACGTCATTGGCGCTATAGGATTTGCAGAAGAAAATGTATTCCTCAAACCAGTACCAGTGCCCATGCAAAGCCTATTTACTCAGTTCGATCAGTACCGTCGTGGGACGCCTCAGGCCAGGTTAGCAGAGCCCTTCTTCACTTTCACTCGATATCACAGTTACTTATTCTGATGGGAAGGGGAAATGGACAGGGATCCAAGGACTGAAAACTAAAACAATGCACTGAGGCTTGACTGTTGAGCATCTTGATCCGGCACGGGAAGGGATGGAGTTGGCGTAAACTGAATCCTATCTTATTTTCCTTAGAACCTAATTTCGCCTCGTTTGATTTGCTCGAAGACTTCCTGCGTTAGGCTTTCGTAGCTGCCCTTGGGTGATAGGTAGAAAATAGCATCGTCGATTATGTTAGGATCGAATTCTTCTTTTTGGAGATCGAGTTTCTTCAGCTTGAAGGTTCCAGTCATGTCCACTTTGGTTAGCAGACGCACAAACATCGGTCTCGCGTAGGAAGGAAGAGTCTCCTTCAGGGTCTCAGCTAGTTTAACCAAGTCCACCTGGCGGTCCGGGTCCAAAACGGCAGCCATTCCAGCGCGTCCCTCCATGTTGGGGATTTCAACACCGTACACCACCGTATCCCGATAGCCGGAAGCATTACTGACTTCAGCTTCCACCTCACTAGTGGATACGTTCTCACCCTTCCATCGGAAGGTGTCTCCCGTTCGATCCTTGAAGAACAAGTTACCCCGCTCGTCAGCCACCAGCAAATCACCCGACAGAAACGCAGCGTCACCCTTTTTGAAGATATCCCGAACGATCTTTTTCTCCGATGCACTCTTGTCCACGTATCCCAGGAACGCCCGGCTCGGATTGTTCGGCAGGATCTTACCGATAAACACTCCCGGCTCGTTTGGTTCGCATAGCTGGGATTGGGATAGAATACAGTTAGCGGATATATTAACAGGTGGGTGATTTGATGATAAAAAGTACCTGACATAAACCATTTTTACCCCGGATGGGTTCTCCCGAGGCCGGATCCGCCCGTATGATCGAAATAGGGTACACCGAAGGGATGATACGGGAAACGAAGCCGATGGCACCCACCGTGTTGTCCAGATTGACTGCAAACAGTTCGGGAATTCAGTTTAACTATCGACTGCTAAATCATTAGAAAATAAATCAGCCACTCACCAATATTGGCATTGCCTTCGGTAGCACCGTAGAATTCTGCGACTCTTGGAATGGTGAACCGCTCGACGAACTGCGGCCATATCTGTGGACGCAACCCATTTCCGAAGATCAGTCGAACCTTGTGCGCCTTATCGGTAGCGGAGGACGGAGTGGCCAAAATATACCGACACATCTCCCCGATGTACTGTCCAACCTGTCATTTGCATACAACGTTCGTTTGATTTCTATCTGGATAAAGCCATGTGATTGATATTTACCGTGCAGTTGTACTTCTGGCAATCGGAAAAGTACTGCGAAGCGGAGAACTTCTTGCGGATAACTACGGTAGCACCGAATAGCAACGCTTGCCCAATGCTCATCATACCGCCGGCCGTGTGATACAGTGGCAGTGGAGTGTAGAATATATCGTCGTGTCGGAAACCGGCCACCAAGTGGATAGCTGCCGTGATGAAAAAAAATCTGAAATGTGTCCACGTGGTAAGAATACAGTTGCTGGAAACCAATCATCGAGTTGTTCGTACCTGGAATGTGTGATGACGGCTGCCTTCGGCAGTCCGGTGGTTCCCGAAGTGTAAATGTACAGCAGCTGATCGTGGTGGTCGGCCTTCTTGACATTTACCGTCGGTAGCTCCTTGGAAGCATCCTGCATCAGGGTGGTAAGATCCTTGGCGTTCGCCAACACAGATTGCTGAGTGGTGTCGTTGAACTGATACAGCGCCAACGATGAAGGCAGTGATTCAGTAATTTCCGACACGGCTTCACGCAGCGATTCACCGAAGATCAGTGCGTTGCACTTGGCTACGGTGATACTGTGCACCAGTGCGTTCTTTCGTAGATTGTGATTGATCAATGGGATGATGATGCCCAGCTTGGACAGACCTAACCACGTTGCTACGAATTCGGGGCGATTTTCCAGCAGGAGACCCACCACGTCTCCGTGTTTGTAGCCATGAGTGTGGAACACATTTGCCACACGGTTCGAGTAGTCGTTGACCTGTAATGCAAAGTTTTTTTTAAGGATCGAAGCAACCCTAGGGAGGAAATGCGCAAGGACCAACCTCTTTGAAAGACCACTCGCGGCCTTCATAGACCAAGCACGCCTTTTCCGGTTGCTTGGCAACGTACTCGGCAAAGATGTCTGCGATGGTAGCATTCTGACGGTTGTACTTTTTCACCAGGATCAACAGTTTGATGTACCGGGTCAGAGCTCTGCAATAACAAAAAACAAATATCGCAATGGTTATATGGTGATCGAGAGAAGGTCAAGCTCATAGCGGCGGGCGAATGTGTGCCAAGGGTATAAGTTCAAATTTAGCCTGAGGAAATATTTATTTGCAGCAGCGTCTGATGACGTGGGGCAAAACAAAATACATCACAGGTGCAGCAAAAAGTAGCCAGAGAAAAGAGCGAAAAAAAAGAACCATATGCAAACAAACTCAACAAACTGGTGTTTGACGCAAATAAAACGAACGACGTTGTTAATTGGAAGGTGGTTCGATGTCAATAATGGACGGGCAATTGACAGATTCCAAAGATCAACACCAGGTGCTGCGTGATGACTGGTCTATCTTGCTTAGTGTTCCGATCGAAGTGTGCTACGTGATAAGTTTTTCTGTCAACAACAAAAAAGATGCTTTAAGGTTAGCCATATCTTCTGTGATCTTCAAATTTGTCACCTAACTTATGTTTTAAATCTTTGGAATAAAATTTGTATGTAGACATTCCATTGAAATCACCCTGAGTTTTACGCGGAGCGTACTGGACTTGTCACCAAACACCTCTAAACTGAATGTAGTCTCGTGTCCGAATAATTCCTGATCATGCTGACATCATTTGGATATCTGATCAACTGTAGTTGGACTTTTTCACATAAGAAATTATGTGTTTTATTTCTGAAATCTAGCGGAAATTTGCAAAACTTTTATCATTTCCAATTAAATAACAACTTCCGGAGAAAATAGGACAAGATGAGCTACTGTCTACACTATTCGATACATGCTTCAATCGATTCGTCAGACTTGTTTACATTAGAAATTATGTGTTTTATATCTGTGATATAACGGCAGTTTTCAAAGCTGCTATAAATTTATGAAGAGCTTTGAGTCGGTTGGTTTATTTCCTTTAAATTCCGTTATAATTGCTTATCTTTTGACAGATACGCGTATTTCGTCTACTACTTACAGACTTCATCAGTGCCAAGTACTCAACAGTACTTGGCACCAGTGTTGGCAAAATCAGAAATCAATTGATATTTTTCCGCTCTCATGCGCTCGCAATATCACACGTGATATTGAAACAAAATATCATGCTTGATATTGATTTTACAAGCTCCTTTGATATTGTAGTCTCGTTCACAACGTGCAAAAATCAAGCTGAGAGTTGACTTCGACACAAAACTGATTCCATTGCACATCGTTTTCTTAGAAAGAGAAAGCATAGTTTGCTATCTATGTTTAATCTTCATCGATGGCAGCCGTTATGGAAGTTTTGGTTGCATTCGGGTGTAAAGCAATAATCATTAAACTCAATCGCACCACAGTTTGGTGAGATTTGCAGTTGGTGAGTTTTGTTAGCTTGATATTCCGAGCTGCGATATCACAGCTTGCAAAATCAACCGCAGTTGTTTGCTAGTTGATTTTTGTCTACGAAAATCAAGCGTGATCTTGGGCGTTGGTGAGATTTGATTTTTTGATATTTTCTCAACACTGCTTGGCACTGATAAAGTCTGCTAGTAGTAGACGAAATACGCGTATCTGTCAAAAGATAAGCAAATATAACGGAATTTAAAGAAAATAAACCAACCTACTCAAAGCTCTTCATAAAGGGATTCCGTTAAGAGGTTCGACAAATTTAAAGGATTGTTATTAATTGCCTTTAAATAACGAGTTTTGGCGAAAATGGGGCAAAATGAGCTGCTTCCCAAAGTCTGCACTAGCTAATTTATGCTCAAATTGATTCGTTGAACTTTTTTACATAAGAAATTATGTGTTTTATGTCTTAAATCTAGTACCAGTTATGTCTTAAATCTAGTAGCAGTTTGCAAAACTGATATCAATTGGGTTCTTTAGGGGTTATTGAGGTAATTGCATATTCTTAATCTGCATTACAAATGGAATCGAAATCCAAAATTTCATCAATTTTGGAGCACTGGAACTATTTTAAATAAGTATGATTACATTAGCTAAAATCACCATCTTAGCACCCCTCGATGGTACTTCGTATGGGAACGAGCTGTCAGTTTGTTAGTTTTGTGTCAAACAGTGAAGTGATTATTTTACTTTAAATCTTGATTTAAAAATTGAGATGGAAATAAATGGGATCGAAAAAAATATCGTTGTGCTCAGAAAACGACGCCTTTTCAGATGATGTATGAAAACCGACATATTTTTCAAAATTAAAGAACCCAATTACCCTTAAATAACGAGTTTTGGGGAAAATGGATCAAAATTCGCTACTACCGAGATCTGCACTATCCGAGACATGCTCCAATTGGACCGGTGGACTTTTTCACATAAGAAATTATGTGTTTTATGTCTGAAATCTAGCGGAAATTTGCAAAACTTTTGTCATTTCCAATTAAATGACAACTTCTGGGGAAAATAGGGCAAGATGATCTACTGTCTACACTATCCGATACATGATCCAATCGATACGCTGAACTTTTTCCCATAAGAAATTCTGTGTTTTTTATCAGAGATAAAGGGTGTCCCACATTAAATTGCATCACGGAAAAAACGCTGTAGGAAATTACCCCTTGGGTATTTTCTCTTGAAAGTTTGGGTAGAAGTAATTTAGAGTGTATTGTTTACACTGAATTTTTATCGCGGTCAGTTTTTCGAAAGTCGGAAAACATGGCGTCACCCGAAAAGCAACGTCGCGAATTGATTTTGCGAAAGCACCAGGAAAATCCTCAAATCTCTCGTCGGGACATCGGAAAACAACTCGGAATCGTGCAGTCAACGGTGAGTCGTGTGATTAAACGTTACTATGAAACGCTGAGCATCGAACAGAAGGAGAAATGCGGTCAGATTGGATGTCCTATTAGTGATCAGGATCACAAGCATGTCGTGAAAGCGTTTAAACGGAATTCCAATGCTTCGGTCAGGGATGTGGTCAAAAAGTTCAATATGTCCAAGTCTTCCGTTCAGAGAGCCAAGGACTGGAAGGGGCTGCATACGCACAAAGTGCAGAAGGCTCCAAATCGTCACGAACGGCAAAATATGGTGGGAAAGTCAACGGCCCGGAAACTGTACACCCAGATGCTGACGAAGCCTCATTGTCTCATCATGGATGATGAGACTTACGGCAGCTTCCGGGGCTACTGTTCTTCACAAGTTTGATGTTCCGGAGGAAGTAAGGAAGTAGAAACTTTCAAAGTTTGCCAAGAAATACATGATTTGGCAAACGATCTGCTCATGTGCACACTAAGTTTTTTTTTTACAGGAGTCAGTATTTTTTACTGGGTTTTTGAATTGCTGAAAAAGTCGGTAAAAATTCAAATGACCGTTATCCGTAAGGAATCAATGAAATCGACCAATTTTATTTTTTATCATTAAATGGGGTTAACAGAACTAAGTATGTACAAGTTCAGAACAAATATTCTCATTAATAAATTTTCCACAGATTTTTAAACTTTAACAGAACAGTTCCGCAATCCAAAAACTCGGTAAAACCGTACTAACTCGATTAGTGTGTGGCAAACGGAGCGCGCCGTTCTTGACTACCAAGACTGTAAACGGGAAGATCTACCTCAAGGAGTGTCTACAGAAGCGTCTGGTTCCTCTGTTGAAGCAACACGAGGGCCCTACGATCTTCTGGCCGAATCTAGTTTCGTACCACTATTCAAATGTTGTTCTGGAGTGGTACGAAGCCAACGGGGTCACTTTCGTACCCAAGGACATGACCCCCTCCCCCTCCTCCAACTAAAAAATAAAAAAATAGAATACTGGGCTATGATGAAGCTGGCACTACAGAAGCATCCCAAGGAGGTCAAATCTGAGCAAGACATGAATGTTGTACAGAACCTAATGAGTGGAGTTAAGCGTAAGATGCGAGCGTACGGTAATGGTATTGAAGTTGAATGAAATAAATATGCCTAGAGCTTACTAATGGGTTATATTTTATTGTCTGAAAGATTGGAAAGGACCGGTCAACTATGTAATTTTCTACAGCGTTTTTTTCCGTGATGAAATTTGATGTGGGACACCCTTTATAGCGGCAGTTGTTGTTAATTACCCTCATAGTTATAATGACTTTTTTAGAATATGGGGCGAAGCTACCTCGTTAGCACAGTAAGAGATTAGTTGTAATTGATTTCCATGGCTTCCTAGCATATCGTCAACAGCATTTAATAGCTGTAGATAACCGTCAGTCGCATATAAAGCCAAATAACTTCTAATTTCAACAGAAAATGAGGAAAAATGTACACTAAGAAAAAATCGTGTAAAAAGGTGCTCTGAGCCTCAATTTTGACATAACGTTGAGTCATAACAGACAAGAAATTCAGCACAATCAAACGTACTTTTCGTCAAATAATGAACTTTTCAGTCTCTGAGCACTTAATATTACATGACATGTTTGTTTACGTCTCATCAAAGAAAGGAACAGCAGCTTCATGCAAACGCTGATCCAGAAAGTGTTTACTCTGACGATAGAAAAATCAACATCGATTTTTTCTTCTTCTAATCATTTTATATTTAGCGTGCTCGTTTATGCCAGTTCAATTTGGTATAAAATGGTATAAATTCTGACTACGTTTTGAAATGACAGTTCATCCTGTTTAATACGAACTGTTGTTTTAAAGTGCACAAAAATTAGTACAAACAAGTTTTTTGTGTTTATGCATATACTGGACATATCTAGATTAACAGTTCAATAGGTCCTATCTGCATTCATCTATTAATTCCAGGATTCATTCGATATTCTAATCGAGTAATGTTTTTTTTTAAATTATTTTTTAAGGAGATTTTTAGCCTATGGTTAGTTTATCTCTGGATAAAATTGAGCAATGGTTTAAAGAAAAAAAATCTTCTTTTTTTTCTTCTATGGCTATTATGCCCCAACTAGAACTTTATGCTTGTTCTTAACAGAGGCGATTAGAGGCAAATGGGGTATAAGTGGTTGATTGATTCTCTTCGTAGACTTTGCCTTTCGTTAATAAGCCAGCGGCAAACATATTCCTTGATGCGGTTGCTATCCTGCATGACAGA